GATTCGTCGTCTGTTGAACAATCCGAATCAGCGTCGCTGTCAACGGATGGACAATCTGACTCCTCCTCATCTTGCTTTGAAGATCGCTTCCATATAGCCGGAGCTGATGGATTCCACCTTCGACACAATCTGATGGCGGGTGCAGCAGGTAGTGCCTTGGCCTTGGCATTCGGCTTCGCTGGAGCTGCCTTCGCTTCGGATTTGGCTTTAGCTTTTGCCTTTGGTTCCGGAGCTGGGGTAGCTGCTGCCTCATGCTTGAAAGGACAATTCGCTCTTGAGCACGAGCCTGTGTTCTTGAACGAGTAGCATATCCTGTTTCCTCCTCCTCCAGATGGACTTGGAGTTCTCGTCCTCGGCGTGAAGGGTCGCTCTGGAGTCTTCTTCGAGTGACTGAATGGACACTTGTCGCCATTTCGACACCCTGCAGCTGTGAAATGGAACTTGCAGCGGATTTGCTTCTTGCTTTTGTCACCTCTGTTGTCCGCTGACTCACTCCTCGTCTTCTTCTTGGGCTTCGGCTTGGTCTTCGCATGACTCTTCGCTTTGCTTTGAGGTAGTACAGGTGTTGCTTTGTCCGGCTTGGTAGGCGAAGCCTTGACCTTTGCGGATGGAGCTGCGTTAGGCGTAGGTTTCTCGGGTACCTTGGCCGGTGCAGCAAGCAAATCCTTGCCCTCAAGCATCTGGCGCAAGCCAATTTGAGTCTGAGTGAGATTTGACTGTTCTCGTTTCCGCATGATGGTACGATCAATGATCTTAATCAGGTTGTCGTACGATCGATCTTCATGATTGTAGGGCAGGTGTTCATAGTGCATGCCCAAGTCCATTTTCATTGCGGGCGAGTCCTTGATCTTGCTGTACAAGCAATCACTGAGAGCTGTTTTGGATGGAATGTCCTCTGGTCTCATCCGTCCCAGAACTTCCAACCACGTCTGCTTGAACGTATGGAGCTTGTTGTCGCCTTGGTACTGGAGCTTCACCAAATACTCAAGAGTGATGATCATGTCAAGACGATCATGCGTTCGAAAACTTTCGTACATCATCGCGATGACTTGTCGTCCTTTGATGATCTTCACGTCATGCCTGCTGATGTAATCGTTGGCCTTCCGGTTCACCTCGAGGTACAGGTCAGCTGATTTGTCACCACCGGCACGTAGCATTGCGACCATGGCGATCCCCAATTTGCCGTCTATGCTCTTGAACTTCTTGTGTCCTGAATCATTCAATGCTTCGACATCAGGGAATGGGTTGAACGCTGGTGCCAGCCATAACATCCAGTCCTCATGATGTGGGTAGGCTGATGCCCCTAAGACATTTGCCGTGCACACAGATCGCCAGTTGTTGAGATGAGTGAGAGTAGGCCATGGAGGAACGGTCACTTTGTCGGCTTCCCTCCTGGAAATTCTCACCTCTGTAACTTCAGGATCCGCATCTCCATCAGGATCACGCGTATGCGAACCAGGATCCGATTCGGGTTTGCCCCCTCCACCTTTCTTCTTGTCATCATCGTCGTCAGGCGGATCTGGAGGATCGTACCCCGTGCCGGTACCTTCATCATGCTCTTCCTCTCCGTTCTCGTCGCCAGCTTCATCACCGTCATCGTCTCCATTGTTTTCTTGAATCGTTTCAGCGAATAATCTCCACTCATCACGATCAGCTCTGAGACGTTGTTCGGCTTTCTGAGCCTTGAGTACTTCACTTCGCAGATCAGCAATCTTCTCCTCGTACTGTTCCGCGATCTCTTTCTCGATCTGGCGCCTCCTTGCCTCATGGATGGAATCGTCATAGGCGACAGGGGGACCAATGAGGTCGTTGCCCTTAGTAGATGCGATGACACCGTCGATGCCAACAGGTCTTGAGGAGCTGGCCGATGCTGTGGACTTCGATCCCAACATCCCGCGATCCCCCAAGAGTTCGCGTAGCTGTCGATCACGCACGGCTGCCGCATCACTTTTCCCATGAAATCCGCTTGGTATGCCAAACAAAGTGGCTGCACTAGGCGTGGAACGCGCAAGCGCTGGGCTGCTAATACCTAGCACGTGGTGCTCGGGCATTGCATCCGCCACGATTGGCATTGAACTGCGGCCAGTGAAGAAGTTTCCACCGGTGAATGGAATTCCGTCCATCACAAGGTTCTTGTCCTTGTCCGATTCCGAGAATGCGAACTTCTCTTTGGCGACTGGACTAACTTGACTTGGGGACCGTATTTCAGGGGATCGTACCTCATCTCCTACGGAAAATGCAGGCATTACTTCCTTTCCTACGTGCTCCCAGCCAGACTCAGTAGTCCTCGAAGACATGGGCATGCTCGAAGGTCGCGTCGCTCCTCCTTGATTGGAGTTTCGTGCTGCCTCCAATTCGCTGCGTGTCCTCGCTTGAAGATCTTCTTGTGCTTTGAGCGTTTTCCTGAGTTCACTCAGCTCGTCGTGCAAGGTAGGCAATGATCGCCTTGCATGATCTTCATTCTGATGAAGTCGTTCCTCTGCTTCTTGCATCCTCTTCACAGCCATTCTGCGGTACTCTTCCTCTTCACCAAGACGTTCGCGAAGCCGAAATCGTTCTTGTTCAATGGCTGCGCTGTTTCCAGCTAGCCCTTGGATCTCGTTCACGGCCCGCAACTCCTGGTTCTTGACCAAGTGGAATCGTTCCTGCATTGCTTGTAAGGCTTGTTCCGAACTTGCTGTGTTCGATCGGAGGACCAAGTTCTCTCTGGCGTGTTCATGAAGTTCATGAGTCAGACGCTCATACTCACGTGCCATAAGCTCACCATCACCTTGCGCTCTTGCCTCCAACTGCACAAAGTTGGTGGCTGCCTCCGTGCGAAACACGTGTAGCTGTTGAGCTAAGTCCTCGGCAACGGCATGTGCTTGACGTTGTTGAGCAGAGTTCTGCTCGTCCATGCGAAACAAAGCTGTTTCATAGTCTCGCTTCATCTCCTGATTGACATTGTTGATGTGCCTCATGGCTAAACATGCATGATCACGTTGTCGTTCCAATTCCTCAATGCGAATTCCAGATCCTTCATCTTCTTGCTGCATCTCCTTGATCTTGTCCATCAGGGTCTGCACGATTCCTTCGTACTCTTGCACCTGACTGCGATAGTACATCTGTTGTGCAAGGTTCGATGCTTCGAACTGTTGCGAAATCGTCAGTTCCTGGTAGGCATTCGGACCGTCAGCTATTGCAGGCGTAGCCACGGATGACGCATCACCACGTGCAGGAATCGTATCCAGAGTCATGTCCAGATCGTCAGATCGCGTGGTTGATTGGTAACCATCCGATTCCAAGTCATGGACTTGTCACGCCCACGGGTAGCCGAAGTCCTCGATCGTGCTGAAGAGCTTCTCGAAGATGATGGTCTTGACTTCTTCTCCAAGGTCTTGACTCCTTTGTCCTTAGCCCTGGACGTAGTCCGAGGTGCCTGAAAACCAGACGCTTCGGCCCGTCGTTCTGAAGCCTTGCCCGTCCTCGAACCTGTGGATGTCGGACGTGAAGGCGTAGATGCTCTTGGTAGACTCTTTGCTTTCCCCTTGGGAACTGCCTTTGCAATGGCAAGCGCAGAAGATTGACCTTTGTCATCTTCCGTGGAGCTATCAACGGATTGCACCACTGTGTCATCAGCTGTTGATTCACCAACGGCTGGCGCTGCCACATCGGCACCGAAAGTCATTGTCGTATCTTGACTTGATCCTGAATTCATTGTGGTCGTAGCAGATCAAGTAGTCGTTGCTGTAGAAAGGCAGAGCCGCGTACGGCTGATAACCTGCGTGGGGGATTGATCTCGACTTGGTTGCTGCTCTCCCCACCAGAGCTGTAATGTATGTAGGTGTGGCTGGCTAGCACTCTCCACAGACTGGACCCTGTCTCTCCCTCTTACTTCCACACGTGCGATCCTATGCAGGCAGAACCGGCGGCCGTTCCTTTTGCACTCACTGCCGGCGGCGGTTCGTCTGTGCAACGGGATAGCTCTGATTGCTCAGGATAGAAGACACATATAGCACTTAGCTATGGGCATTGACTTGAGCCAAACGTTGCGTTGGCGGTCACATAGAAAGGTAAAGACGAGGGATGCGTAGCATGCCCCCTAGAGTCGAGGGACGCGTAGCGTGCCCCCTTCTCTTGCACTTTACACGGTCTTGCTCACAGCTCTTATAGTGACACCTTAGAACTTGACAAGGCATCGCAGTCCGTTCGCACTACTACTACTACTACTACTACTACTACTACTACTACTACTACTACTACTACTACTACTACTACTACTACTACTAACTAGTACTACTAGTACTACTAGTACTACTAGTACTACTAGTACTACTATACTACTACTACTACTACTACTACTACTACTACTACTACTACTACTACTACTACTACTACTACTACTACTACTACTACTACTACTACTACTACTACTACTACTACTACTACTACTACTACTACTACTACTACTACTACTATACTACTATACTACTATACTACTATACTACTATAATACTATACTACTATACTATACTATAATACTATACTATACTATACTATACTATACTATACTATACTATACTATACTACTACTACTACTACTACTACTACTACTACTACTACTACTACTACTACTACTACTACTACTACTACTTCTACTACTGGTGCTGCTGCAGCTCCTGCTGCTTGTGCTGAAATGGCTTACCGCCATACCGTCCCCGAGCGGAACTAATCATACAAACACGAATAGTCAGTCGAATCCATACCAATCAGCTGACAAACAGAAAAAAGAGGTGTTAGCATTGCGTTGTTTGCCCCCAGACAATGCCAGATTGCTGGCCCCACAAAATCAACGACAGATGCACATGCACCAGTGTCCGCAAAGTGTCCTGAATACGAACTCATCCAACCCTCAATGTGAACACAACTTCACATGGTGTTTCATGTCGTCCAAGGTGGCACTTGCCATGCTTTCGTCTTCTTATTCACTTCAGCTTCCCGGTGCATGGGCGGTAGAAAACTTAGCATCGAGCTTTTGTGGCATTGGTGTCCCGATAGCTTTCAGAAACAAGCCCCATTCCAGCCTCATCGGTGGGTGCCCCAGCATCTGGTGCATGTCGCCGCTGCCATCGGCCAGCCTGTATCTCCTTGATAGTGGCAAGCCTATAAGCCCTACACCGCTGAAGATGCATGATCATATCCCTGCCCCTGCCTGTAATGTCGCTGCCAACACGTCTGCAAAGTGGGCACTGGCCGTCTCATTTATTTGTTCCTTCCTTCTCATCTTTTTTGTGTGATGATCTCTTCTTTGCTCCCCAGCTCTCACTTGCGACCCATCTTGTCCTAGCCATGTCTCTGCTGCTACATCGTTACCGCCCGTGCGTGGTCCGAAGATTCTACACACAATCATCCTGCACCGGTGCTGGCAGCTGCGAAATCTCGGCCGGAGGCTGTGGCCACGGCTGATGCAGAACCTCAGGCGCCGATGCCCTCAAACCCTAAACCCCAAACCTTAGCATCCCTCAATCTTACTCGCGACACGGTAAGCCCGAAAGCCTTAAACACGAAAATCCTCGATGCGCTAAAGCCTGAACCCGCTCGCCATCCCACTGACTTGTCTCCTGGCATAGAGGGGGGCGCTGGTCGCGACGTCTTACGCACCCTGAAACTCCGAGAACTAAAGTCACATTCAGCCGTATACGTTACGAGATGATGCTTTTTGAGAGAAATGTGCGCATGTAAACTCCGAGAGTTCAGCAGGTGGCCTTGGGGTGGGGAAGTCTGAGCGTTGGAAACCGGAAAGAGGATGATTGGTGCTGCATTTCCTGCAGTCCAGCTTTACTGAACCTACTGTGAAATCCCAGGTCTGGTAATATGGAACCCTAAATGGGAGCTTCCGAAACTAGGGGAACCTTTTTTGACTCTGGGCTTGCTGGCTGCCAGAATATGACCCTCCGACGTGGGGAACCTAAAATAGTACTTGTAACCTAAATAATAGGACCCTTATTATCAGGACCCCAAAATAAGGTACCCCCTATTTTCGGCAACTCCCAAATACTTACCAGTCATTAATATCGGCCCAGAACCGTATTCCAACCATGAAGGCCCGTATATTACGGCTTCAGACATGCCGTGCTGTCCTTCACCGGAGCACCGTTCTAAGCAGTCGGCGCGTTGCCAAACCCTACTTAGCAAACCCACATCGGTGTCTTCTTCCGAAAAACCAAACGAGAGGTTTGGCTTACGTAGTAAGCCGTGCAGCTACAAGCAGGCTGGAGCAGCTTGCAATCGTGAATAAGAAAGCCCAAATCCGGAATGCTTTCGAGACTTCTGACTTACCCGTTTTTACGCCTGGACTTGCTGAATGCCAGCACCCCACTGAGCACAGAACCGAGCCCAGGCTTACCCTGAACCCCAAACCCTAAAAAAACCCTGATTCGGATGGATGAAGTCACCTTGATCGCCGCAAAGGCTGCCTCCTTGGCCATCACCAGGCCGAGCCTAAACTGCAGGAAAGGCCCGGCGACTGAGAGACTTGTCGGACATCAGCATCGAAAAAGCCATGAAGTACACGTGCCCCTAAGCCCCGAACCCTAAATTACTAAACCCTAAGCCCTAAGCCCTAAACCCTAAAACCTAAACCCCAATCCGTGAGATGCCCTGAGGTCAGGGTGTTCGGCCGGGATGCTCGTCCACCAGGAAGCACAGGAGCAGCTGGTCTTGGCGGAAAAACACCCACTCGTCGATGCCCCTCTGGCCTTCGCGCCCAATGACGCTGTCGTAGCCTGCAGGCAGGGGCCAGGATGGACTCGCAGTCAGAAACAGTACAATTAGCCATTAGCCAAGTTTCAGACTCACCTGGGCAAAGGCGCCAGCCATCGATCTGATCCCTCAAGCAAACAGTCTGAGCCAGGTTTGCCTGAAAAACTCCAAGGCTTTACTTAATTTCCTTGAACCTACAGGCAACCCACGTCTGCGCTGGGCGCGGCGCCATCGTCTTCGGGGGACAGAAATCCAGTGCCGTCTGCAGGAGGCTTGCCGAAGTGCTGCTTGCCAGGCAACGCCAGGCACATGAAAGCAGCCTGGGCTGTTGACACATTGTTCCGGTTCTTGGCTGGCTTCTTCTTCTGTTGCAGTCCCCGCACTACAAGCCTGATCTTCGTGGTCTCGTTGCAGGTTTCGGGAGAATCCGTCTCAAAGCCCTGCCGCGCAGCCCGCGCCCCATAGGCAAAGAGCTCCTTTCCATATCGAAACTCGGGTGAAACCTCAGCTGAGGCACACAGGATGAGTGGGTTTGGGGCGTAAGGTTGCACCTATATGAAGAATCTTAGAAGAGATGACTAAGGCGAAGTTGGGTGGGGTAGATACGATTCATGTTGCTTTGCAATTGACTTGGGCGAATGCTCTATCATGCTATGCTATGGGGAATGTGTCCAGGCTTCTGGCGGTCTAAAACCCATTCTGATACACATACCGGCCTTAACTGATACACCTTCCGGGCTGAACTGATACACCTTCCAGCCTGAACTGATACACCTTCCGGCCTTAACTGATACACCTTCCGGGCTGAACTGATACACCTTCCGGCCTGAACTGATACACCTTCCGGGCTGAACTGATACACCATCCGGCCTGAACTGATACACCTTCCGGCCTGAACTGATACACCTTCCGGCCTGAACTGATACACCTTTTCGTGTTCACTGATACGCATTCCGGCCTGAACTGATACGCCTTTTCGTGTTCGCTGATACGCTTGGGTTTGGCAATTATGCCCAATCAGAACAGCCCAGTCATTCTCATGAACAGTCGGACATTTTTCCTGGGTGCTGGACGTCAGCGAGCAAAACAGTCAGAGTTTCCATTCCGGAAATCAGGGAATTCAGGGTGCTGGCTGCAAAATGAGGCTCCATTAAGATTGCTAAGGTTGAGTTCTGGGTTAGGTCTTTCGGTCCTTTAGGTTTGCATAGGTTTGCTTGGGCTCGGCCCGATGGGCTCTATATTGCCCTGCCCTACATGGCTTAGCGGCTTAGCGGCTTATCATTCATGCGGCTTATCCCAGGACCTAAGGACCTAAGCTTAAGACTCTAAGACTGTTGGAAGTTAAGCCTTCGGCAGGCAACCAGCACTTTCGGTCTCACTACTGTACTGTACTGTACCCTATCGTCTGAAGCTGATAGGTGTGAATCTTGAGAGGAGCATGCCGCTCACGCAACGCTGCCGGCCCACTGCAGCTTCAGCGTTCCTATGTCATGGCAAGAACAAAGTAAGTAGATTAAGTAGACTAAGTAGACAGTAGACTCTCAATAGTTGTCACTATCACTCAAGTCACTAAAGTCACTAAAGTCTAAAGTCTAAAGAGTCTAGAGTCTAGAGTCTAAAGTCACTGAAACAATCAAAAAAACGAATTACTAATAACAGACTAATAACATCAACATGCTACCCAAGTATGGTCAAGATTCTGTACTGGCGGCCCACTCCAGCCACTGCTTTCCTAGTTCATGGAAAGAACAAAACTTAAGTACACAAAAAATATCACAAAGTACAATGTCACTAAAGTTCAGAAGAATCTAAAGATTCTGAAGTCATGGCAACAACTATAAATCTTCGTGAAACCCAAGCATTAAAATTAAAGTTAATTAAAGATTGAACCTATTACCCAGGTATGATAAAGATTCTGTGGGTCTGCGGCAAAATGCCGCTCACTCATCGCTGCCGGCCCACCCCAGCCACAACTGTCCTACTTCGTGGAAAGAACAAATTTAAGTACACGTGAATTACAATGACAAAACCTAATAACAATTCCTGGTCCTAGTATATTAAATTAATGTATAAAAGGCAAGGTATATAGTATATAATATATAATGTACCCAAATATGATCAAGATTCTGTCGCCCTCTGGCAAAAGATCCGCCAATGCCTCCGCCACGTACTTGCACGGCCGGAAGCCTTGCCCTTTGCAGCCGTTCATGCATTTCCAGATTGAAGTCCGGCGCTAGCTTTGTCCACAGACCGTATAGCTCATTCTTGAAGGCCTCGATTGTGTTTTGAACCACCACGCCAATCTCGCTCATCTCTTTCTCTCCTCGCTTCTTCCAATTGGCTCCCATCGATTGAAAAGCCTGGAAGAGCCCGAAGATTTGAGGCCACTTGGGATCGAGCGTCATCTGGTTTCCCTCTGTCCACGGAACCACAAGAGCCTTGCCGCCCAACTCCTCGCCTGTCGCAATCTCGTGCCTGGGTTCCAAAGCCAGACTTTAGACTCTAGACTTTAGACTCTAGACCCTAGACTTTAGATTTAGACTCTAGACTCTGGACTCTGGACTCTAGACTCTATTAAATTCTATGTCAACATATATGTATAGATTCAGTATAGAATAGATTGAATAGATTGAATAGATTGAATAGATTCTAGATTCTAGATGTTAAAATGATTAAAACTACGATATCAAAGACAGCAACAAATGTAACAAATGACGACCCTAGAGACGCACGCAACAAGTTGTTCAACCCAATCTTCGACTTCTGGTACGCGACGACGATCTGTTTCATTCGGTCCCACGGTCCTCGCGCCAGCAGGATAAACACAGAAGCACTTCTGAACCAGGCAGGTTCTGCTGGTCAACAGCGTCCCTGCCGTCTGGGCTCTGGCAATTAGGTTGTCATCCGTGGTGTCCGGCTCTTTCAGAAGCTGGAGGAGGTTGTTGGCCTGGCCCACGTTGCTCAGTGTCTGTTCCACTCTCGGATCCCTGCAAGCTGCGATGTCAGATCGAGACAAATTGTTCACAAAGACGGTCACGATGTCGAGGCGCCGGATCAGCTCATTGTCAAGGGCTTCAGCACTGAACTCTGAGGTCGACATTCCTGGGCTTTATTAACTTTACTAACTTGTAAATACATTGTATATTATATATTACAAAATTTCATAAATTCTCAATAAGCCTTAATAAACTCATAAATTAGTAATTACCAATTACTGAACTTACTTACGAAACGGTTACTTAACTTACTTTACTTTACTAAACTATGGACTCCGTACACTGTGCACCGTACACGGTCACAGTGCAAGCGAAACTCGGAACATCTCCTCGAAGCAAAGTTTGAGGCTTTTATTGACGATCTCCACCGCAGCTGCTGCTTCCATGCTCTTGCCATGCTTGGAGAGGCACTCGACCAATTCATTCCACTTGTGCTGCGCACACAGAGCTGTTGCCTCCCGCACGGCAGCGACGTCCTCTGGTGTTGACGAAGACGTGACTGTGACTAAACAGATCCATGAAACGAATCCTAGACATAGCGACTTAGTATTAGTCTACTTATACTTATACTATACTTATAAGATAAGATATCTTAGTATACTTATACTTAGTGACTTTGGTTCTGACTCGCAGACTCAGACGTAGACTCCGCCTGTAGATGTAGATTCAATGTAGATTCAAGTGCATATATATAATATGCATTACCTGTTTATATAATATATAATATACAATTTATATTTATATTTATGCATGTTTAAGTAACATGTGCACACACACAAGGACGCACCCGGTCCTTCACGGTCTTGTGGATAGCGACGCCAGCTTCTTCAGCCTGCCTCATAGCTGCCAGCAGAAAATCTGGTTCGAACTCGTCGCCCTCCGAGGCGTTCAAGGATTGCACCAACGGCACGCATGCCGTCATCCGCTGCTCGGCCAGCCTGGCATAGCTGATGCCCAGAATGCTCCGTCGCACGTTTGACCCTATGCCCTATGTCAGGCCCTAAGTTGCATGTGACAGTGGCACCAACACAACATGATAGCGAATCTGCGAATCTGCAAAACTTATGCAGAACTTGACTGACTTAACGGTTAACGGTTAACGGCGACGGTCCCGGTCACGGTATAATAAGTATAAGTATAATTATAATAATAAGTTATTATAATATAAGCTGCGTGCCTGAGATCACTGATGATATTCAGGCCACTCTGTTGCTGGTCTTCGTCCATGTTGTCCGCTACGAGGATGTTCAGGTTGTCCTCTTGCAAGCAGACCTGCAACTTGCCAAGCACGTTGGTCCAGGTGGTTGGTGAGAGCTCCAGCACCCCCGCATCGTCTACCTGCTGCAACAACTGCGCGGCGGTGGTGTGGACGTTGTCGGATTTCTGCTGCTTCGCTGTGAGCTTCGGCTTCTTGACGGGCCTATGCTCCGGGTTGTCAGCACCCTCGTCCTTCTGCAAGGCCCTCTCAAAAGCATTTGCAAGACGGCCTCTCTTTGGGTTGCTGCCGCTGGCTGGCTCGAGCATATCCGTTTCTTCATCGTCGTCGTCCTCTACCTTCTCCTAGGAGGGATATCCCTAGTCAGGGTTACATAGTTGCAGTATGAAAAAATATAATGGATCTGACGTCGAGTCTAGCGGTTCTGACGGTTCTAACTTACTAACGGTTACTAACGGATGGACTCGGAAAGAAAAGGTTTAGTAAGTAAATATCATAGCCAATGGTTTTGAGCTGAGCATCTGCGGGGTTCTTGTCGTTGTCACCTTGGATCATCTTCCTCCGCTTCTTGGCAGAGGTTGTGATCTCGCTCTCAGATGCTGGGTCCTCTCATGCATTCATGAAGAACCAAATCACAAGTTGACTGCGCAATATGGACATCAATATACAATTACAATATATCAATATATCTCTCTCGAAACTAGGATCGATCTGAGTACGAGTACGAGCAAGCACGCCGCAAGTCGAACAAGATGTTTTGTTTGCCCATGCATAGCAGTCAAAGCATCTTGCTCCGATCCGTTCACATCTGGACTCTGACCTGAATCGCTTGCATTCCAGCCGCACAACAACACCACACACAATGTCACAAAGCTGTGCACTGTGAACACCGCTGGCCCAGCAAACGCAATTTGATTGCTCGCTCTCACACACACACAAGCTAGGAGACTAGCGAACTCGTTTGCGGAATCGCACTGAGTAGACAGCCACTTGGTGGCAGCTGGTTTGGCTCGACGGAGTCGGTCCAATAGACCTGGGCTTCGGATTGGAGTGAGTACACTACTCACTATAGTCACTGCACACTGAGTACACTGCACAGTTTACAGTGTACAGTTTACAGATTACAGGTACGTAAGCAAGCAAAAAAAACATCGCATGCAGTTCTCTCGGCGCTAAGATGTTTTGCACGGGCCGCACACTCCGATACATACACACGGAAGATCCCACAGATCAGATCCGATGCCTCAGGAATCAGGAAGGATCCACAGCTGCATTGAAGGTGAGCGAAAAC